CGTTTTTCAGTTGTGTCCAACTCTTTGTGACCCAATTTGGGGTTTTTTTGGTATTTTTTTCCATTTCCTTCTCCTTCTCATTTTACAGATGAAGAAACTGAGGGAAACAGAGTTAAGTGACTTGCCCAGGGTCACACAGCTAGTAAGTGTCTGAGGTGGGATTTGAACTCAGGAAAATGAGTCTTTCTGACTCCAGGCCCAGCTCTCCATTCACTGAGCCACCTAGCTGGCCCCAAAATGAACTTAATGGCTTCGAATTCCCTTCTACCTCTGGGTCTTTGGTCCTAGGATGTACATGGTAATTTGAGGAGGTTTCATTGCATTTCCAAAGGGCTTTGAGCTAACCGAACAGGAAATGTGCTACTGCTCCAGGGAAGGGACCCTGGGCTGGTGGGTGGGAGTAGACAGAGTGTGTGTCTCTTAATAATCCCCTCTTTCTTTTTTCTTTGGTAGCACCTACTGTTTGTTAGGACTAGAGGGCAAAGCTGGAATAAACATAGGTGAAAAGGCCTCTGCACCGGGGTACTGACATTTGGTGGGGGCATATTTCATTTCTGTGGTCACTGACTGCCATCCTCCATCTTGATTCCTGGCCCCCATTGGTCCATCCCACTGTGTGGCCTGTGTGATCTCACTCAGTCCTTGTACATGACCCTGCTTCAGATTCAGCTGCTTCTATCCCCAGTGAATCACTTTCCCATCATGCCTCTCCCTTCTCCTTCTTGCCTGGTTTCAACTGTTGAGGTAGGCAAGGGCCCTGGGCTTTGAGAATTAGAAGTGTGAGTTGTAATCAGAGCCTCCTCCCCCATCCCCAGTGACTTTGGGGGAGTAAGCCAGCAGCCTGGCTCTGAGTCTCTTTCTCATAGCCAGTCCATGTTTGAGGCAAGACGACCAGCGCTCTGTCCTGTGTGCCACCTAGCAGATTTTCCCCTGGGCCTTCTCTGGCCCTTGTCCCCCCCATTCCAGCTGCTCTTCTGTTGGCAGCAGCCTTAGCCTCCTTTAGTTCCCCTCCCCTGGGGTCCCATTGGCACTAAGCTCCCCCTCTCTGCCTCACCTAGATAGGAGAGACCCTGACCTGATGCTGGACTCGGATGTAGAGTTGGAAAGGGTCTGGGCCCCCTCCTCTTATAGGAACAGACACTGAGGGCCAGAGAGAATAGGTAGTAAGTGTCAGAGGTGAGATTTGAACTCAGCTTCATCCTTTGACTCCAGAGCGAGATGTAAGCATGTGAGTACTAGTAATCATGGAAACATGGACAGCATTCTCAAGTTTGCAAAGCTTGTTAGGTGGATTGTCATCTCATTTGAGCCTTTGATGCTCTTTGGGCATCTTCATACCCTTTGTATTGATAGGGAAAGAGACTCAGAGAGGCAGAAATGACCTGTTCATGGTCACACAGCAAGTGTCAAAGGTAGGATTTGAACTCGGGTTTTCTCGACTCCACATCCAAATGGTGCCATGTGAAGCCATAGCCCTGGAAATCTAGGGTTAGTTCCTGCCACCCGACCCCAGTTGGCTGCTTCATTGTTTACTCTCTCATTGCTGTGAGGCTTAGCTTGACCTCGAGGACGCCTCTGATGTGCCAGGGACTCCTGAGCCAGGCACGGGAACACAGATCCTTTGCACACTCTCTGTTGCAGGAAAGTGGAGCTGCTGGGGCATCCCTTCCGTCCTCTGCCTCGGGGACAGCGGGCTGGGCTACACTCCCTCCTCATACCCCCATCCCCAGAGCCCGAGCTTCCTAGAAAGGCTGACTCCCCCCCTGCTGATTATTGGCAGTATTCCACCAGTAGTCTAGTCTGAAAGCTCCATGGATGGATGGGTGCCTTCTTCATTGTTAGGCACCAATTCTTGTTGAAGTGACCTGAATTGGATTGTTGGATACTTCTGCCTTAACTCAGCTGAGATGTAGTGAGGGTTGTTTCTTTGTTTTGCTTTTTTTTTTTTTGATAACTTTCTTAGGAACTTGAGGGAAGAGTAATATTCAAATAACTGATTGTCGGTCAACAAGAATTGAGAAGCCTGCTTCACTGCCCTGTAGGTACCAGCCTCTGCTGTCCGGTCTCTGCTTTCCTGGCTGTCTCAGTGTCCTCTAAATCCTTGCCTTTGACATCAAGGTTCCTATGGTAGCCATCTTTGGCCAAGTGAGATGAAGTCCATCTGGCCTTTGGGAAATTACTTCTCCTGGCACATTCCATTTGGTAGAACACACACACACACACACACACACACACACACACACACACACATACACACACACACACGTGCACTCCCCTTATTTCCTTAAGACAAACCACTGTCAGTCTCTCTGCTGACTTCCAATCTCACATCCCCAGCTGCCTTTCAGACATCTCAAGCTGGATGTCCAGTAGACATCTTAAGCTAAGTATGTCCAAAACAGAACTCATTATCTTTCCCTCTTTACCATCCCTATTCGTGTAGAGGGCACCGCCATCCTCCCAGTCCCTCAGACTCCCAATGTAGGAGTCACCCTGACTTCTCACTCTTTCTCACTCTTCATATCCAATATGGTGCCAAGATCTGTCAGTTTCACCTTGGTACTTCTTTCTCTTGTCCATTTCACCTCTCCAGTACTCCCCCTTCTCTCCTCTATGGCCACCCCTCTTGTGTAGACCCTCATCACCTCATGCCTGGACTATTGCAATAGCTGCTGGGGGTGGTGTGTCTGCCTGCCCCCAGTCTCTCCCCACTCCAGTCTATCCTCCATTCAGGCACTAAAGTCATTTTCCTAAAGCTCAAGTCTGACCATGTCACCTAATAAACCCCAGTGGCTCCCTGTCACTTCTTGGATCAGATACAAAATTCTCTGCTTAGCATTCAAAGCCCTTCACAGCCTCCTCCCTTCTCCCTGTGCACTCTTCTTATGCCTTACTTCCCGACATATTCTCCAGTGTTCTCCAGCCTCCTGTCCACAAACAAGACCCTCCGTCTTTTGGCTCTGGGCATTTCCTAAGACTATCCCTCATGCCTGGAATGCTCTCTCTCCTCTGCTCCTGATGACTGACCCCTTGGCTTTAAGTCCCAGCTAAAATCCAATCTTTTACTTCTCCAAACCCTCATTAATTCTAGTGCTTCCCCTCTTAAATATTTTCTGTGTATCTTGTATGCAGGTTGTTTTGTGTAGATTTGTTTACACATTGTCTCCCCATTAGATTGCAAGCTCCTCGAGGACAGGAACTGTCTTTTGCCTTCTTTTGTGTCTGCCACTGATTAGCACAGTCCTTGACATGTAGTAGATCTTTATTGATCGACTGAAGTGAAGCCAACTTAATCTGTGGTTTTATTGATAAATAAATGGTTGTAGATTGGTTAACGGATGATTTGGGGGAAGTTCACGGTAGCCCTTGAGAGGACCAGGGATGCCCTGAGGCTGGGCAGAGCCACAGTGGCAATCATACGCCTCACCGGTGTGGCTGGGTAGTTTTAGGTAGTGTATGTCTGGCTGCCTTAGGTTCTTGAGATTCAAGGTTTAGAGTTGGAAGGAACCTTTGAAGTATCTTAGTTCACTCTCCCCATTTTAAAGATGAAGAAACGGAGACTCAGATGTCACGTGACTTGGCCAAGGTAACCCGGCGAGGGAGGGACAGGGTCCTTTAACTCCAAATCCACTGCACACCCCTGGCATGTGTGGGAGGGAGCATTCTTCTCTAATTCTTGAGGTGCCCGGCACAGGGCCCCATGCAGACAGTCTTGGATCTCCTCCCTCAGCTGCTAATGTTTCCCACCATAAAGCTTCCTTATGCCTCAGGCTTCTCACCTGTAAAGTGGGATTTCTGACAAACCTGTCGGTCCACATTTCTCAAGCATCTCCTTTCTGTAGGGAGGGCTGGGTCCCCCTGTGTGGGAAGCCAGATGGTCTGAAAGTGCTTGGGGGGGCCAGAAGGAAGGAATTAGAAGCCAGCCTGCAGGAATGGCCCCAGGGGCCTCAGGACCATAAGGGATGATGATGAAGAAAGCCTGAAGAGGACGACCCGGTGAGGATGCCGAATGAAGCGACCCACGGTGGAAAGCTCAGCCTTTCCCTTCTCCCACCCTCTCCTGTACCGGCACGGGCCTCCCACCCTTGGTTCCTCTGCCTGCCCCGTCTCATACGGATGCCTTTATACTGCCCTGCCCTCCTCCCCTGCTCTTAGGAGGGGCCCACATTTCTGTCTCCAGGCTCCCTCTGGGTTACCAAGCACCTTCTTCTCAAGCATCCCTCAGGAAATAGGGAATGTGAGAGTTTTCACTCTCATTTTAAAGATGAGGAAATTGAGCCTGGAGTGATTGGCAGGGGCCGCACAGCTGGAAATGGTTGGTCAGTTCTGGCCCTTGGGCTCGAGTCTCCCATTCCAAGAGGAGCGTTCACAAGGTTGGAAAAGTGATGTGTCGTCATGGGGCCTGGGGGGTGTGCAGTGGGCCTGACCAGTGACTTCATATGTGTGGGGAACTCCCTCCCCCAGCGCAGGTTGGCATCTGTTCTGCACGTCCCAGTTTTAGACCGTTGCCGAGCCCAAGAGAGCGGTGACTTGACCAGGGCCACATGGTGTTGGACTGGTGATGCCAAGGCCAGCCTCTGCTGCTTACATTTATCCAGCTCTCTAGAACTGACCAAAGCCATAATCCCATGAGGGAGGGGGTATTGTCCCCATTTTACTGAGGGGGAAACTGAGGCTGAATGAGGTAACATGACCTACACTATCAGCAGGACACAGAGTGTCCCAGATCAAGAGGCAGAAGGGACCTCACGCCACCTGGTCCAACCCCTTCATTTTATGGATGAGGAAACTGAAGTCACGGGGTTTACCCAAGGTCACAGGGGTGTCAGTTAAATGGCCAGGGTGGCTTTGAGCCTGGTCTGGCACAGCCTGTCTTACTGCCCAGGTTGTACCCTCCACTGTGACCCAGTCCCAGGCCAAGGTGGGTGTATAGCAGGTGCCCCGAAGGACTTCCTTCTGGGGCAGACTCTGACCTTGTCCTTCTCCCTCCTGTCTTTTAGATCTGGTGGCTGGATCCCGAGCTGACCTACAGTAATTCCAAGCCATTCGTCTTCACTCAAGGCCACTCTGTATGCAACCGCTCCTTCTTCCCCTGCTTTGACACGCCCGCAGTGAAGTGTACTTACTCTGCCACCGTCAAGGTGAGTCCTGCCCCCTCCCAGGAGGGTGGCCGGGGGCTGCTTGGCCGTTTACCTGGGACACGTCCAGAAGGTGAGAACCACCCCCCTCTTTCCTGTGAGCGTGCCCACAGCTCATTCAGTCTCCTGGGCTCCCAGGCCTGGATGGGCCTCGGTTGGTCACCTAGTCCAAACCCATCATTTTAACAGAGGAGGAAGATGACCTAGATGGTGGGATCCCAAGTTTGGAAAGGGGATTCATGTCCTCCATCTCCCTCATTTTTTTTTTCAGCCAGAGGCAAGGTTAATAGCCAGACTCTTAAGGAATCTGAGCATCTGTGAGCTATTGGCTAGATTGTAAGACTCTGAGCACCTTAATGGAGATGAGCTGGACCTCATATACAGAAAGACCTAGGATGGATCTTCATGGAGTGACTGGGAGGTCAAGAATGGGGTCTCGATAGAGTTAAAGGTGGGGAGTAGCCAGGGGCCATAGGGAGGTACTGCCATGGGGGCAGGGGCTGAGGCCAGGGCCTGGGTGGTCCTTGCCTCAGGGGAAGGCCAAGGGAAGAAGTGCCAAAGCAAGGCCCTTGCTCAAGGCCTGAGTAGAAGTTGCCTCCAGAGTGGGGACTTAGGGAGGAAATGCAGGGTAAAACAAGGCAGGAAATGAGGGGGGAGTGGGCTAGAGGAAAAGGGAAGGAAAACTGAGGGAAAGAGGGAGTGGGCAAGGAGGTGGGGGCAAGGGGAGAATAAGGTGGAGATAGGAGCTGGGGCCACCTCTCTCATTTTACATTTGGGGAAACTGAGGCCCTGAGAAGAGAAGTGATTTGAATTAGAAGATCTTGCCCATAGCTAGAAAGGACCTAGAGGTCATCTAGTCCAATTCCACTATTTTATAGAGGAGGAGATAGAATCCGAAGGAGAAGTGACTTTCCCAAGGCCACTGAGGTAGTAAGTAGCAGAGCTGAGATTCGAACCCACACCCTCTGGTTTGTTACCTTGTGCTTTCCTCACTGGACCATACACTGTCTGTCAGACAGAGGTCATAGGATCATGAGATTGTAAATTTTGAACTGAAAGGGACCTTAGAGTCAGATCTTCCCACTTTCCAGATGAAGGTACTGAGACAAGACAAGCTTAAGTGCCTTGCCCAGAGGCACGCAGCCAGTAAGTGTCTAAGGCAGGTTTTGGACTTGGGTCTTCCTGACTTGGTGTCCAGTGCCCCAGCTACCTCTCTCTACAGCAGGATTTCTTTACCTTTCTGTGAGTCCTGGAGCCCTCGGGTAGCAGCCTGGTCAAGCCTCTGGACTCCTCTCAGAATCATATTTTTTAAATCTATAAAACACAATACAGAGGACAGCAAAGGAAACCAGTTTTAAAACCAATATCAACATAGAGTGATCAAAATATTTGAAACAACTAAAGCCGTTTATGGCCTGCAGTTAATGACCTCTTCTCTAGGCGATAGCCACTTAATAACCACCAAAGGTGGGATGATCCTGGGATGATCCATCTGTCCAGCTGGGAGCTGACCAGGCCCAGGCCAGCAGGACCTGCCCCCGTCTTCCCTCCTGCTCCCCCATGTGCTTCACCAGATGCTTTTCTCAAAGCAGCCCAGGACGGCATTAACTCGTTTGGCCTCCAAATCATGCCTTGTCCTAACCTTGAAATCCAGGTGCCCCCACAGGAAGGGGTCCAGCGACACCTTTCCTCATCCTGTCCCTTTGAGGTTGACTTCTGCGCCCCATGTATGGTCATCTCCTTTTCTCCTGACTGTATTTTGTCTTCTTGACTCCTGATGAGATCCTGTTGATTGTACGCCTTGCCACTCAAGGTGTCATCTATCTCTCCCCTTGTCGTGACCCCTGCAGCGTGATGAGCAGCCTTCTAGAGCTGCGTTGTGGTCACTGACCAAAATATGGATCCGCCCAAGGTTTGTGACAGATCCCTGGGCCTGTGCTCCCTCCCTCCCTCTCTCCCTGGAGCTTCCTCATTCACAGAATGAGGGATGGGAGATGTGTCAGCAGCAGGGGAAGAGGGTTAGCTGTCTTCCTTCACTGGCGGGAGAGGCGCTAAGGCCATGTTGTGTGAGAGGAGGGTGAGTCCGCGGGGAGGACTGTCTGGGAGCTGAAGGCTGCCTTAGCCTGCCAGTCAACAATCTTCCCCACCTCCCTCATTTTACAGTTGGGAAAACTGAGACCCCGAGAAGGAAAGTGACTTGAATTAGAGGATCTTATTCATCGCTAGAAGGAACCGAAAGGTCATCTAATTCAATCCCATTATTTTATAGAATCCGAGGGAGAAGTGACTTACCCAAGGTCACATAGGTAGTTAAATAGCAAAACTGAGATTTTTTTTATATCTTACGTGACAAGTGGGCCAGGCACCGTGAGACAAAAACTAACATAACCCCTGCCCACAAGGAGCTCGTGTTCTCCTGGAGTACAGATAAAAAGACCCAGAGTGTACACCGGGAACCCCAACATCATTGCAGGGGGGCAGGACTACTCCCAGCTGGGAGCCGATCAAGACGCCCTGTTGGAGGAGGTAGCATTGCCTGAGCTGTACTTGAGGGAAGGCAGGATTACCCAGGGCAGAGGTGGGAAGGGAGGGCATTCCAGGAAGGGGTCCCAGCCTGGGCAAAGTCACAGAGGATGGAGGTAGTGTTGAGGATGGGAGCAGCAGCCAGGTCAGCTTTTATGGAACAGAGACTATGTAAAGGGGTGTGATGGGAAATAAGACCAGAAAGGTGGGGGAGGACATTAGGGGGAGCCCCTGGCACATCATTGGGGCATGCTGTCCTGCCTTAGGTCCTTTTGTTTGCCCAGTGCCCAGCTGTCTCCTGTCCTCCCCTGGGCACCAGGGGTAGAAGCCCAAGTCTGTAGGGCCAGTTCCCTGCTTTCTGCCACGTGGACCTAGACCGGGCACCTTTAGCTTCCCAAGGGCCCCAGAGCCAGATGGTTCCCTAGAGCAGAAGTTTCTCCTTAACCCCCAAAACCATAGGATCCCCAAGACTCCCTGACTTGAGGCCTCCTCTCCTCCCACACACCTTGTCCCCCATCGGCAGCCTTGTGATGTCTGCACCGGAGGGACGGAGTTGGGGAGGAGGGACATTGGCCCCCTCCCCTGGCTCCACGTGCACCTGCCAGTCCTCCATCCATCCGTCCTGGGCCCCAGGAGCCTTTCCTGGGCTGGTCCAGCCTCGTGGGGTAGACTCTGGGGTCTCTGCTGAGAGGGGCTTTGCCGGATGCCTGCTGACAGCAGCTGCTCCGGCCAGCCCTGAACTGTCACCTGGTTTGGTCTTCCAGGCTCCCGCCGGGGTCCAGGTGTTGATGAGCGCCACCCAAAGTGCCTACCTGGAGAAGGAGGGTGTGTACCAGTTTCACATGGAATATCCGGTGCCTGCCTACCTGGTGGCGTTGGTGGCGGGGGAGCTTGTGCCAGCCGACATCGGGCCCAGGTGAGAGACTCTTCCCAACTGTGGGATGGGGGACTGAGAGACCAAGAGCCTGGAGGCACCTCAGAGGTCATTTGGGCCAATCCCCTCATTTTATAGAGGAGGATACTGAGGTGGGGTGGGGGAAAATGCCTTGCCCAGGGTCCTACCAGGGATAAATAGCAGAGTGGGGCCTCTGAGGGAGGTCACGAGACATTTAGAGAGGGAAGGCATCTTCAAGGTCATTTGGTCTAAATTGGCTTTACAGATGAGGAAACTGAGGCTGGTGATTCCCCTCAGGCCACTCAGATAAGGGATTTTAACCCTTGGTGCCATGGTGGGCACCATTTCTTTGTATCAGCTCTGGCAGTGTGAGGGAAGGAGTTCTGGGTGTGGAGCTGGAAAAAAAACCCAAAGCCCCGAATTTGGATCCTGCTCAGAGGCTTACTAGTGATGTAATCTTTAGCAAGTCCTAACTGTTGTGGGCTTCAGTTTCCTCATCTGTAAAATGGGCCTCTGCGATCCCTCCCCACTCTAAGTGCCTGATCCCACGAGCTGATGAATGGAGGCCCTTTGCCATCTTTTCTGGGGATTTTGCCTCAGGGGACCAAGGCTGGAGTGTGTCAGTCACTGGGAGGGGGTGGTTTCCCCTCTGTGAGGGGCAGAGTTATCGCCTTTCTGTCTTTTACACATGGGGAGTAGAAGAGGACGGGCCGGGGAGAGGGCGGGCACATCCATGGGACCTGACTTGGGGCCTTCCAGCAGGCCTGCCGGCTTCTCCCTTCCCCACTTTAGCTACAGGTGCTAAAACATTCTCAAGTTTTCCTGTTGTACTTCTAGAGATTTGCCCAAGCTGTCAAGGTCATGTCCCCTAAGGGCCTCATTCCCTTTTATTTCCAAAGTGGCAGTGAGCTAATCTGTGCCAGTCACTTCCCTAGAGGAGAGGGTGCTTGGCTTTCCCTAGTAACCAAAAGGCAGTTTTGACAGGGGGCCCTAATGAATCCCTTCTCAGGGTAAGCTCCCTGGGGAATGTGACTGGGCCTGGGGCCAGTTCTAGGCCAAGTGATAGTACCTAAGGGGAGACAGGAAAGATGGCAGAGCTTCCATTCAATAGGGCTTGAAGGGGTAGAGAATCCACTTAGGAATCCCTACTGGTCATGTGACCCTGGTCAAGTCACTGAAACTCTCAGTGCTCTCAGCAACTCTCTGAGGCTGCAGAAGATGGCGACCTGCCTTGGTGGAGGAACTTTCCTCATCTGGGAGTTCCCTGTAGCAGGGACATGCCAGGTGCAGCCCCTCTCCCCTCTTAAAGGTCCTTAAGGTATTCCAGGTGCCAGATTTCCTTAGAGCCACACACCAGCCCTGTTGAGAGACGATGGTTGACAGGGCTGTTTGAAACACTCATTGTCATCTTTTGCTCACCTCCGTATTTCTTTCTCCTCATCCCCTCCCAAAAAGCCCCTCCCCTTGCTGTTCCATGAAATTAACCAACACATTGAAAAACAAAGTCTGCTGTTGTATGCAGCATTTCACAGCCATGGCTCTCCACCTCTGCTAAGAAGGGGCATAGGTGTCATCTTGTATTTGGGGCCAAGCTTCTACAGGTGTTTTTATCCTCACTGGGCCCATGAGGGAAGGGAATCTCCATGAGGGCCGGCTGGGGTCTGAGGCAGGATTCGAACCCGGGAGTCTCTTGGGTGATCTTTCGACTCCTCTAGGGAGGCTGCAGAGACAGCTCTCCGTCAGTCATCAGTCGGGGGGAGTGACCTCCAATCTCCTGGCTGCTTTCTGGCAGAAGCAGAGTATGGGCGGAGCCGTGTCTCTTGTCGACGGCCACAAGCAAACTGTCTGGGCTGGTGGAACAGTGGCTGAGCATAGCAGAGAAACTGTATGGGCCCTACCTGTGGGGCAGGTGAGCAGAGTGGGGCTGGGGGGGGCCTAGGGAGGGGGAGGGGCACTTCCATCATGCACCCCAAGAGTGGCAGCTTTTCCTTAGGGAGATTGGCCGCACAAATGCAATGAAAAATTATCTTTTTAACAAAAATCCATCTTAATTGTTATGCCTTGTTTTACATCACCTCCATTTCCCCTCCTCCCTCACTCTCTGGGAGAGCTATCACTTGTAACACCAAATTTGAAAGAAAGAAAAATAGTAAAACTCCACAACATGTCCAAAATGTACCATTTTATGCGAGCTCCACACCCAGAGTCCCCCACCTCTTCAAAGAGGAGGGGGTGGTGCATTCTCATATCTCTTTTTTGGGATCAACATGGTCACAAAACATTTATTAGATACCTACTGTGTGTGGAACCGTGTGCAAAGCTTTGGGGGAAAGACAAAGGCAAGGTGAGATGTACTTGAAGTACTCACCGTCTAAGGGGAGGCCGAGAATCAGGCATGGGTAGTAGCAGGAATGCTGGGGCGCCAGAATACCTTTGAGAGGTACAGAACAGTGCTCTCTGAGCTTATAATAACTATGGCTAACATTTAACCTACTGTGTGCCAGGCACTGTGCTAAACACTGTAAGTGTATTATCTAATTTGATCCTCACAACAACCCTGGGAGGTGGGTGCTGTTATTATCCCCATTTTATAGCTGAGGAAATTGAGGCAGAGAGAGGTTAAGTGACTTGCCTAGGGTCACACGGATAGTAAGAGTCCCACATCAGGCCTGGAGTGCTACCTGCTGCCCCACCTGGCTTTTAGCTTCCTGCCCCAGGAAGCTTTCAGGCTCAAGAGGCTGAGCCTTCCCTGTGCAACGAGCGTGGTGTTCTTCCAGGTATGACATTGTCTTCCTCCCGCCCTCCTTCCCGATCGTGGCGATGGAGAACCCCTGCCTGACCTTCATCATCTCCTCCATCCTGGAGAGTGACGAGTTCCTCATCATCGACATCATCCATGAGGTGGCCCACAGCTGGTTCGGCAATGCGGTCACCAACGCCACGTGGGAGGAGATGTGGTTGAGTGAGGGGCTGGCCACCTACGCCCAGCGCCGCATCACCACCGAGACTTACGGTATGGCTCCCCGGGTGCCGGCGGGAGGAGATGGCATGGATGTGGCTCTGGAACTCTTCCCCAGAGACCTCAGAAAGGGCCCGAGTCAGACCCTTCTCCTCACACTAACTGCCTCTAGGGACTGGATGTGCCCACCAGGAGCTGATGGTGGGGGGAGGAAGACTCCAGATCAGAGCAGGCCCTCCTTCCAGCAGCCTGGCCCATGAGCTTTTGGGTTTTTATTAACATTTTAATTTATCATTTATTTTTAACATTCTTTTCTTTTTAAATTTGGAGTTCCAAATTCTCACTCCCTTCCACACCCACTGAGAAGGAAAGCAATATGAGATCAATTATACATGTGAAATGATGCAAAACATTTCCATGTTGGCCATCTATGGGCTTTTTTTTTTTTTGGTGAGGCAATTGGGGTTAAGTGACTTGCCCAGAGTCACACAGCTAGTGAGTGTCATGTGTCTGAGGCTGGATTTGAACTCAGGTCCTCCGGACTCCAGGGCCGGTGTTCTATCCACTGTGCCATCTAGCTGCCCCTTCTCTCTGGGCTTCTGACTGTCACCAGCCTCGCCCTCCTCCAGTGTCTTCCACACAGCTGCCACATTGGCATTCCTGATGACTAGGTCTGACCAGGTCACTCTGCTCCAGAAACCTCAGTGACTCCCAGATGCCTTTGGGGTCAAAGCTGGATTCCTGTTTGCCATTGAAGTCCTTGATGACCTGGCTTATTGGACGTTATGCCCCCCAGCACACGTTCTGGCCCAATAGGTCTTTCCCCATAGGTGTCCCATATCTGTGCCTTTGCACAGGCTGAACCCCCAGCCTGACATTCCCTTCCTCCTCTTGGGCTGCACCTCTTAGATTCTCTCATTTCCTTCCCAGTCTAAGTGTTGCCTCCTCCAGGAGGCTTGACTCCCCCAGGTGCTGGGGCCCCTCCCAGTATCTGCTCTTTTTATATGTCTCCGAGCTATCCTCCCACCTCCTTCTGATAGCACGACAGCTCCTGGCGGGCAGAGACACTTTCCTTTCCACCCTTTTATCCTGTGTGCCCAGCCCTGTGCCTGGCACTGGGCAGAAGCTTGTTATGTGAGTGCGTGAATGAATGAATGCATGTTGCCCCGTCCTCCCCAGCCTGGACAGAGCAGTGTGGACTGTCTCCTGCTGGGGCAGGTTCCCATTTCTCCCCTCCCCCTGCCTGCACTCCCAGCCTGAGGTATCACCTCCCATCTGTTCCTCCCTGGACTAGGCGCTGCCTTCACGTGCCTGGAGACAGCGTTCCGCCTAGATGCCCTCCATCGCCAGATGAAGCTGCTTGGGGAGGACAATCCTGTCAGCAAGCTGCAGGTCAAACTGGAACCAGGTACCTCACCCGCACCCTTCTTCTGTCTTGGCACCTACCCATCTTCCTCTGTTTCCCCAGCAGCCCGCTGTCTTTGGTGACTGCTCTTCTGTTTTCAGGGGTGAATCCCAGCAACCTCATGAACCTGTTCACCTACGAGAAGGGATACTGCTTTGTTTACTACCTGTCGCAGCTCTGCGGAGACCCCCAGCACTTTGACTCCTTCCTTCGAGTTAGTGCCCCGTCCCCTCCCTGCCCCTTGCCTCCCCAGCAGCTTTGACTACCATCCCTGTGGGCGGTGAGCTCTGGGGAGGGCAGTGGCCCCAGGCACATGGTACGCTGGACAGAGCCGTGCCTGAGGATTGGGGTCTGAACCCTGGCAGGTCCTATCATCTTTATGGGCCTCAGTTACCTTCTTTGTAAAGCCAGAGAATTGGACCCTGTGGTGGTGTGCTCTGTGCCCTTCTGGCTTTGAGTCCCAGCTCCCTTTGTAGACCCTTTACTTGAGGGTTTTTAGGCCTGTCAAAGAGACCCCATGGATTCCACTGAGGCCAAGCTGGGATTCAAGGCCTGACCCACTTTCTCAGGGAAGGGAATGTGCCAGATGGTTTCACCATATTGGGACAGAGCTCCCCCAGATGGCGTTCCTCATGACTCAGACACCCCCAGAGCAAACACCTCACTTGGGGCTGGGCTGGAACTAGTGTTGTACAGCTGCCGCTCCCGGTCATTGGCTGGGCCTCAGGCTGGCCCTTGCAGATCTCTGCATTTCTTCAATCAGCTGCCAAGATCAGGTGTCCGTGAGCTGTGCATGTTCTGCTCCTCCCTCCCCTAGCTCCGTCCATGGCTGCCTGTCCTGAGGCCTGCCTTCTGTGCTCAGGATGCCCAAGCTTCCCCTTTCCCTGCCCCACTGAGACCCGATGAGTCTTCTTCACTGTCCTGCCACCATCTCTCTCTCAGGCCTATGTGGAGAAGTACAAGTTCAGCAGTGTTGTTGCCCAAGATCTTCTGGATTCTTTCCTGAATTTCTTTCCTGAGCTGAAGGAGCAGAGTGTGGACAGTAAAGCAGGTGGGGCACTTAGTTTTTTGTGCTCTGTCCTTCCCAGGAGGGCGCTGTCCCTGGTGCTGATGGACCAGAGTCTAGGTTCAGGGAAGGGGGGCTTTCTGCTGTTGTGTGGCTGAAGGGTGGAGAGCAGGGCTTATGCTAAGCAGGCTGGCAGAAGTTCCAGTCCAAAGGCTGGTCCCTTGGTGGTTCCCGAGGCATCAGTCACAAGGAGCGTGTGGCATGGCCCAGGCCCTCTGCATAGGGCCTGTCTCCTTACTCACTTGCCTGCTTATCTTTCCAGGGCTGGAGTTTGAGCGCTGGCTCAATGCCACGGGGCCTCCGCTTGCTGAGCCAGATTTATCGCAAGGCTCCAGCCTGACCAGACCTGTGGAGACCCTGTTCCGGCTGTGGACAGCAGAACCCCTGGACCAGGCAGCTGCTTCAGCCAGCAGCATCGACATCACCAAGTGGAAAACGTTCCAGACTGTTCTCTTCCTGGATCGACTTCTGGACGGGTCCCCACTGCCCCAGGGTGAGCACTGCAGAGGGCAGCCAGGGTCCCCAGTGCCCCAGGGTGAGCAATGCAGAGGGCGGCCAGGGTCCCCAGTGCCCCAGGGTGAGCACTGCAGAGGGAGGCCAGGGTCCCCACTGCCCCAGGGTGAGCTGCAGAGGGAGGCCAGGGTCCCCACTGCCCCAGGGTGAGCACCGCCCTATGGTGAATGCTGGTTGGGGTCCCCACTGCTCCCTGGTGGGTCCTGCCTGGGGTGTTTGGGGTTTCCACTGCTGTGGTGTGTACTAGTGGGAGGATCCCCAATCCTCCAGGGTGTGGGCACTGGCTGGGGGTGATGACTGGGGTCCTCGTTGGCCCGAGGCGATTGATCACAGTGGCTGAGGGTCACCAAGGACCAGAAATGAGATATTGGATGTCTGGCCTATCCTGATATGGTTCCCTGGGGAGGATTTTTCTTAAAGTGAGTCTTGTATATTTGGCCTCCTCAGAAGTGGTGATGAGGCTCTCCAAGTGTTACTCCTCGCTGCTGGACTCCATGAATGCCGAGATCCGCATCCGATGGCTCCAAATTGTCGTCCGGAATGACTACTACCCAGACCTCTACAAAGTCCGGCGGTTCCTGGAGAGCCAGGTACCCAAGAGAGGCCTTAGAACAGAGAATGTCAGCTGGGAGGGGGTGGGGCCGTAGAAGGGAAGGGTAGAGCCAGCGTGGGCTTCAGAATGTGGATGGGCAGAGATGAGAGAGACCTTAGAACAGAGACTGTGGGAGCCAGGAGAGAGCCCAGAGCACAGGGATGGGAACTGGAGCCCTGACGTCTTTGGGATGGGAAAGTCCTAGCGAGCCTGTGTGCTGGAGGCATCTTCTGGGGGCTCAGAGGCTTGCCGTTGAAGGCGCCCTCTAGTGGACAGATGGGACAGGCTGCAGGTAGATGTCCCAAGCTGTTAGAGTTTGCCTGTGAATGACGGGGGCTATGCCTTACCTATGGGATGGCCATCCAGCTGAGCCTGTTGTATTACAGATGTCCCGCATGTACACCATCCCGCTCTATGAGGATCTCTGCACCGGCACCCTCAAGTCCTTCGCCTTGGAGGTTTTCTACCAGACCCAGGGCCGGCTGCACCCCAACCTCCGTAAAACAATCCAGCAGATCCTGGCCCAGGGCCTGGCCTCTCCCGCCCCCCACAGACACCCCCCCCTTGGCCATTGCCCCAGACACACCAGCCCTGCTGCTGGAGGACAAGCCCCCCCGAAGCCACAAATGGTGCCATCTCTCTCAGGGACGTCAATGTGTCTGCCTAGCCCCAGCCCTTGTTCCGGGGTGGCCCCCCAGGCCCCCAGCGGTCGTCTCTTGGTTTGGGATTGCTCGGCGGTTCCAGCTACCAAGTTGAATGTGCCTTCCCATGCCCATCCTGGATGGGGCTCTGCAAGGGGGTCCTGGAGTATTCCAACTTCAGCCCTGCAGTGGGCATCCTGAAACCCTCCCTGAGCTCAGAGCAGGGGCTTGTGGGCAGGGCTCCCTGAAAGGACTCCTTGGTACTCTGAGAAGTCTGCCCAGCAGCCGTCCAGGGATGGGCTTTGGTCAAGGGGCAGTTGGCCACTTACCTCAGGGTTCCAGGTTGCTTAGGGGATGGGAAGGATTCTCTGCCCCTTGGGAAATAAGCAACCTCATTGCCACTTCCTGGGCTGGTAAAAAGCTAGGAGGGTCTCCTGCTAAAGGGCAAGACCACTTGAGCCTTGACCCTCCCGATCTGCTCCGCGTTTGCACTTGTAGAGTCTGGAGGAGGGGGCCATCCTCCTGGGAGGCAGGCCTAATGAGTGTCTCATGATGGGGCTTGGGAGCACAGCAGGTGAGAACAACCCTTCCCTCCCCCCCGCCGCCCCCCCCCCCCCCGGCTGCTCCTGCAGGGATGCCCTGGAGCAGCCTTCAGGCTTGGTTTCTTACTCTCTCTCCTCCCCTCCCCTCCTTGACCCTGACGACCACCACACTGTGCCTTACGTCTGCCCGAGAAGGCGTAGGATGAGCCTTTTTCTAGACATGACCCTCTGTTCCCAGTGACCCCCTGCAGCCCAAATTCCTGTCTCCCTTTCCTTCATTCCTGACTCTCCTTTGGGGACAACTTACAAGCTAGGGTCGGGGTGGGCTTTCTATGCTGCGGCTAGGCCCATGGAGAGACTGCCAGAAGGCAGAGATGGTCAGTTGACCAGAGAGGGGAACCCTCAACCTTCCCCCCCCCACCCCACCCAGGTGAGATATGAAACCAGTAAGGCAGATTGAGGAGGGGACCTGGGAGGAGATGCCAATACAAAGGGTCACAGAGGTGGGTAGGAAAGATAGCGGGCACCTTGCCAGCCCAGAATCTCCAGCCAAGGTCAGAGAACCATCACTCTTGGTCAAACAGGAAGATCTAGCCTGGCTGCCCAAAGGTTGAGGCAGTGTGAGGGCTGGGTTGTGCCTGGGCCTCTCACCTCCCTGGATTTTAGCTTCGGGAACAGATGACAGTGACTAAGTGTCCTCCTGCCTTTTATCTATCTGCACCTTGGCTTTAGCCCTGTCTGGGGCCAGACTGGGATGAAAGCAATAAGACCCCCCCCCCAGGATAGGTCCCCACAGGACTCTTTCCCAGCCATGCCCCTCCCCCCTCTCCCACCCCCAACTTGCACCAATCCTGTAATGAATATTTGACTTCACTGCCCTGTCTACAGGGAGATCATGTCAGGGAGGGGAACGTGCAACTCAGCCTTGCTGTTCTCCATTGAATAGAAACTGATTGGGGAGGTACGTCCTCCCCAGGGCACCTGGCCTTACCACTGAGGGGTCTGAAGCCCCAGACACCACTTCTAGGGGCCGTGTCCTGACCAGGAGCGGTCACTGTGAAAGCCAGCCTTGAGCCCTGAAGGAGTGCCCATCCCGCCACCAGCCTAGGAAGGAACCAGTAACATTGGCATGAGAGCCTCATGCTGCTGCCACTACACTTCGTGACTTTGTGCTCTGTGTCTCCTAAGCCTGGCCCATTCTCACCCTTAGCAGTGGGGTTCAGTTCCCCCTGGGGAGCTGGCTGCCTTGGGTGGGGAGCATCCTGGGGTGGGGGTGGGGACAGACTGGATGACACTGTAAGCTCCTTCTTCCTGTGATTAACCCGAGTGGAGAGGTTTTGCATTACTAACCACAGCTTCCTTCCTCACAGGAGACTTTTCTGACATGACCACTAAGGCTGCAGCTGCTGTCTTGGGGAGGGGAGTGGGATGGGCAGGAGGAATTGGAAAGATAAGAGAGAGGTAGTAACTGTGCCGTGAGAGCTCCCACCTGCCCTGCTCTAGAGGCCAGGCCCCTGGAGCCTTGGCAGCTTCTCAAAGGCAGGGGGATGAGTAGGGAAGGCTGAGGTAGGAGAGACAGGGGCAAGGAGAACCCAGGCTGACGTGGTTGGCATGGATGCCTGCTGGTGAAGCATCCTGCTGCAGCAGATGGCTCGGGGGTTTAGTTATGAGCTTTCCCCCCCAGAATTCCTCCTGTGATTTCAGCAGGGCTTGCCCCAGACAGGACGCCCTAGGAGTGTGACAGTCACCTTGGTCCCAGCATTGACCTTCCATTCCTGGTCAAACCTTTCAAGGGAGTGGACTTTGCTGCTCCCTCTCTACTCCATCAATTCCTACTAGACTGTAAGCCCCCTGAGGGCAGAGATTGTGTCTTATCTAAATTTTGTATCTCCCACGGAACCTAGTACCATGCTCTGCACACGGTTGGTGCTTAATAAATGTTGAGTTGAACACTTTTCCTCATCACTGGTCTTCCTGCTGCTCTGAGGGACCCCCCTGCTCACTCCAAGGTCCCCAGAGGCTTCCTTCTTCCTAAATTGAAATTTTTCCATCTTCCTTCTCTTTGACCTCTTTGATATGGATCACTTTACGATCAGATGAGATCTGGAAAGAGCACAGTGCCAGGAGCATAGTAGTTGCTTAATTAAGTACTTCCCTTCCCACTTCCTTAAGCTTCCATTGGCTTCTGAGATGCCAGTCTTCTAGCTCTGCTCCTGTGTCAGCTGCCTCAGATGCTTTCTGCAGCTTCTCTTGTCCCCAACCTGGAGGGTCTCCTGCCATTCCAGTCCTCGGCCACAGGCATTTCTTCTTGCAATAGCTTAGAATGCTGGGCTGAATTTTAGGGGTTATAATGGAACAGCTGCCCCCACTCATTTCCTCCCAAGTGCAGAGCACCCTTCGGAGTGTTGAGAATGATGCAAAGGTGGAATAAAGCCTGGAGCTTGCCTTCACAAACATAGCTTACTGTCTTGGAGGGGGATGGGATGCCAACAAGAGCAGAGTGGCATGGGGAGGCACCTCAGATCCCACTTCAGACCTTTATTAGCTGTGTGACCATGGACAAGTCACTGCCACTCTGAGCCTCAGTTTCTTCATAGCCATAGAAAGGGAGGGAAGGAAGGGGGGGGCGGGAGAGAGTATCTTCTTGCCAATCCCTTTTCCATACAAATGCTGAAGTGATTTTCCCAAAGGCATAGGTCTGACCATGTCACTCCGTTATAAAGCTAGGTGTGTATATATGTCTACATATGTCTCTATCCATCTGTCTGTCTCCATCCATCTTTATCTGTACAGATCTATACAGGGAGAGAGAAGCTGTTACAATAGGTAAGGAATGCCTGATCTAGGGAGACATCTATGTGAGCAGAGAAGAGGAAAGATGGGCAAGAGATGATAAAATATGGTGACTGCTTAGATATGTGGAATGAGCCTAAGATGACAGTGGTGTTGGGACCCTAGGTGAAGGGGGGGGTGCCCTTAACAATAATAGAAAAGTTTGGAAGAGGTGGGTAGGTTTGGTGGGGGAAGGGGGGGAAGATGATGAGCGCTACTTTGCACTTTCTGACTTAGAGTTGCTCAGAAGATGTCCAATTTGAAATCTCCAGTAGGCATTTGGTGATGTGGGACCAGAGCCAGAAGAGAAATCAGGGTAGGGCACAGATCTGGGAGTAATCTAAATAGAAATAATTAAACCCATGGGAGCTGGTGAAGTCACCAAGTGAGAGTATAGAGAGAAGAGGGCCCAGGACAGTCTTGGAGGACACCTGCAGGTAGGAGGTATGATAGGCAGGAACAGTGAAGCAGGAGGACCAGTGAGAGCCGTGTCATGACAACTGAGAGAAAAAGAAGGAAGCGTCCAGGAGGGGAGAGTGATCAACAATGTCATACACTACAGAGAGGTAAAGAAGAATAAGAATGGAGAGAAGGCCACCAGATTTTACACTGATAACTTTGAAAAGAGTAGTTTCCGGTGAGTGAGGAGTCACGTATCATTTGGAGGTTGGAAAGCTGAGAGAATGGAAGGATGGTGATGTCCTCAATGGAAATGGGGAGTTTGGGGGTAGGGGTGGAAATGCAACCCATCCATGCCTCCTCACCCATCAGTACTCCTCCCCCCCACCCCAAATGAAAAGCTTGTGCGCATTTTACTCACTAGCCACTGCCCCAGAACAGATGGAAGTCCAGGATGTGGGAATGCTGAGGTGTGCAGAGGGAGAAGGGGGATGTCTCAAGGAATTGTACCTGTATAGCTGAAGATTTGGGGTTGGGTTAAGTTCTGAGGGGCCTTTGTCTACCCCTCCCCCCCACTCCCACATACTATCACCAGGTAGAAAAGGGGGAGTGGTTGTGTTGGCGACAAGGTGGAGCCATCTTCCTATGCTCTGAGTGGTTGATCACAAACCCCCTTGGCATCAAGCCACAGACCCCCTTTTGGAGACTCCTACCCTGGGCAACTGTCTAAGACTCTCGAGTTGCAGAGGAAGGCGCTGATCCCTGGAGTTTTCTGTATCACGGAAATCACAAGTCCATTTTCTTTTCCCATCCTACAACCAGGTAGGCTATAAGGAAGGATTCCTAGGGCCATAGATTTAGAATCGGGAAGGACTTTGAAGGTTATCCCATCCAACCTCATTTTCCATATTGTTGTGATACTCCCTAAGGAATTTTGTGCACATGACAGATAATCAACATCAGAGACCTGTGGCTTCAGTAAATAGCTTTAACACTCCGCATGACATGATAAATGCGTGATAGTTTAATAAGAATAAATGTGAAGTCAACGAATCTGAGAACTGGGAGGAACTGCAGAAACCATTTAATTTAACCTATAATCTGACTTTAGATATTTACTAACTGTAAGATCCTGGGCAAGTCATTTAATTCGTGTTTACCTCAGTTTCTTCACCTGCAAAATGGGGGTAGTAATAACACCTACCTCCCAGGGTTGTTGTGAGGATTAAATGAGATAATAATAGTAAAGTACCATAAGGCACAGTGCCTGGCACATAGTAACCGCTATATAAATGTTAGCTACTATTAGTAGGTATTATGACTTGAACGCAAAGCTCCGCAATCTTTCCACC